GGGAAGGGAAGGGAAGGGAAGGGAAGGGAAGGGAGGGAGCGAGGGAACAGGACTGACCACTGAGTCAGAAGAGGCCAGAGACCATGTCAAGGCATGAAGGAGACAGAGAGAAATCACTTTGTGTGTGCCTGTTGCTAGGCATGGTGGCTCATGCCTATAATCTCAGGGGAAGTTGAGGCAGGAGGACAGCTGCAAGTTCAAGGTAAATAGGGCTCTATACAGAGTCTGTCTCAAGCGGGGGTGGACATAAATCAACGGGACAGTGACAATCCTAAAGGATGAGTGCTGGAAACCCGTCGGAACTGTGCCCGCCCTCAGCTGCTGCTTAGACACAGGTCTTGCTGTGTAGGTCCTAGCTGGCCCGACACTCACTGTGTGTGTGCCTGGGCTGGCCCCCGATTGTGACAATTCTCCTGCCTTTTACTTCGAGGTTTTTTTTTTTGCTTTGAGGGTCTTGGTTGGGGTTTTGTTTGTTTGTTATGATTGTTTGGGGTTTTTTGTGTTTTGTTTTCTTTTGGAGACAGGACCTCACTATAAAGCCTTGGCTGGTCTTGAACTCATAGAAATGCACCTGCCTCTGACTCCTGAGTACTGGGATTAAAGGCCTATGCCACCATGTCCAGCTGTTGTTTGCTTTTATAAATACAAAAGCAGTTGACATAACCATTCATTTACTATCGACTGAATGATTAAACTATGTGACTTGGGCTACCACAGTTAACAACTTTTCAGTTAATTCAGAAATACAGATCTATCGGAATAGCTGTATTTCCATTCTTTAGAGAAATACTTAATTTCATCAACACTCCTTACTTCACACTGGCATTCTCCTTAATGCTAACTGTTGAGGATCTAGATACCCTACAAATAAGAGGTCTTTGAAATATAATTCTGCCTAAAATTCTAGAACATTCTGCCCTCTGATAAACAAGCGAGGCAGCCCTTTATGCTGTGAGTCGGCTGCAGGATAGCATCGGTGTTTGTCCTGACTCGCTCAGACCCTAGGCGGTAACGCAGCAGGTGGCAATCCACAGACACGTTAGCAGCATGCCAAGGAACAACCAGATCTGCACACGGTGCTGCAAGGCCCCGCCTCCCTTGGACCTCACGGAATCCGATGCGCCCAGTCATGCTTCCGGTAGTGTGTGCATAGCCTCCTGGTTTTTCAGACCACCTCCGGAAGCAATCGTTCAATAAACACACACCGCCTCCCTACACCAGCTCCACCGCCAACAGAGCTGTCGGTGGTTCCTACTTCACGGAGCTCGGGATGTGAGGAGGTGAGAAACATTAGCCAAACAGTGAGTGTACAATTATAAATCCCGACAAAACGCATGAGGGGAAAGGTCATGGCCCGAGAGAGCAGAGCCAGCCGACCGGGTTAATCTGGCACGAAAGGAGGAGCTGAGCTGCTGGTTAATTAAGTGAGGGGATCAAAGGGATCCTAACAGCACTAGGCAGCAGAAACAGCATGTGCAAAGGCCCTGGGGTGGACTCCATTTTGATCAATTATGCTGAAGTGTAGAGGGAAAAACAAGACAGGACGAGCAAGGGAGGTCAGAGCCAGAACACACGAGTACTGTAGGATGCTGGGGGCCTCGATCATCACCATAGGAACCCTGGGCAGCCGCTAAAGAGGTTGAGCAGGGGCCGAAGACACGGGGATCTGAGTGAGCTCTCAGCACCCACGTAAAAGCTAGGCACAGTTATGCGGGCCCGTAACTCCAGAGCCGTGGCAGGTGGAGGCAGGGGGCTCCCCAGAGCTCGCTGGCTCAAAGTCTAGTTCCAGGTTCAGTGGGAGACATGGTCTCAAGGAAATAAGGCGAAAAGTAATAAAGCAAGACACCCAATGCCCTCCCCTGGCCTCCTCAAGCATACATACATACACACACACACACACACACACACACACACACACACACACACACACGCACACGCACACGCACATGCACATACACACACATGCACATTACCACATGCACACACACACATCAGTAACTACGGAAGTTTTAAGCAAGGGGCAACCTAAACCAGGACCCACCTTAGACAGGCCAATCCAACCACAATACAGAGAACGAGGAGGAGGGGACTACGATGGACTCAATACACAGCCTGGGAGAGGGGAAGGGGGTGTGGAGTGGAGAGGAGCTGAGGGGAAATGTTCAAATCGGGGCAACACTTCCTCTGCAGTCCCACAGGCCTCCACGGATGAGTCTGAGAAGGGCCGTATCCGGCCAGAGAGGGACGTGGAGCCTTTTCCTACCCACTGCTTCAACAGAGGAAAACCCTAGCGTGCCGAGAGCAACTCTTGGCTCCGTGACCCGAAACCTGGGCTTCGCTGGCTTCAGTGATAAACGGGTGTGGGGTGCAAACGGTCACCTGGCTGGTCTGGTTTGGAAGTAAGAACGGAGTCATCCTAAAGGCCATGCGTGGATGATCAGGGGAAACCAGGAGGTGAAAGTCAGATACACTGAGGGGCTGGCCGGAGGAGGGGTAGTTAAGAGAGGGGAGAAAAACCAGAACGCCGAAGCCACACGGGGAAAGTGCTCGGGACAGAGGCGGAGAGATGGAGAGAGGCCCAACAAATCAGGGGCTTTGGGAGATCACAAACAAATTCTCCTGTATGGACCCGACTCTGCAGAGCCGTGAGCAAAGAGGCTGAGCTGACAGCCGTGGCCAGACTCACTGGTGTTATCCTCGCCAACATAACGTATTTTAAAACATAGGTTATGTTGGAACCTTCTGTGGTGGTTAACATTGCCAAGGCAACAAGCAGACCTGGGCTAGGTTCTTTAATCCGGCGAGACCCACCCTAAATGCGGGCTGAGGTCCTGGACTGGATACAGAGGAGGAGGCCAGCTGAGCACCAGTCTGCCTCTCTGCCTCCTGTGGACAGAATGTGACCGGCCGCCTCATGTTCCTCTGCCCTTCTCCTCTCCACCGTCATGGACCATGCTCTCTAGCTGGGAGAGCCATTTTTTGTCAGACGCTCTGTCCCAGCAACGAGACATGCACCTAGTACATCTTCTTGTTATTGATAAAGAAACCTCAGCGTGGGAAAACAGCTGGCCCGGGGTCTGCAAGCCAGAGGGCGGCAAAGCCAGGCTCTGTTGGCCCCTCCTCCTCGTCGTCCACCTGCTCTTGGCCCCTTTCCAGTCAGGCCAGCTCACCGAAACCCAGCGTTATGGTGTTTATCTCACTCACACCAATGGAGGCAAACCTGACCACACAGAACCAAAGGCACTCAGGGCACCTGCCAGGCTACATTCCCCGCCCCCCACTCCACTTACCTCCTTGATTGTGGCGTTCCTTCCCCGCCAGGAAAACCACCATCTGCCTCCTTTTTTGGGCATCTTATCCCTCATGATGGATTCCACAGTGGCCTGTTTTAAATGGATGGTAACATAAATAATGGAACCAAAAAAAAAAACAACTTAGCACACTTGAAACAAAACAAAATGTACTTGCAAATCAAAGGAGACGGAATAAATAAATAATAAATAAACAAAACATAACGCAACATACTGTGGGTGGACTGAAAATTTTAGAAAGGCAAAACCTAATGGCGTCCAAAATCACGTGAAGGTAACTGAGGCACGAAGACTTAAGAAGATGGGAAAAGAACCAACAACAACAAACAGAACACAACACAACAGGGAAGAGAGAGTTGGAGATCATTAGTGGTTAGTAGGTCTGCCGTGGTCGGTTACAATGGCTGACTGGTTAAAACGCTCTCAGTCTCAAATGATTACAAATTAAGACAGGAAAAAAAAATGATCGCTACGGTACAGGATCCAACGGCTCTAAACAGAAGTCAAAATACGAGGACTTTTTTTTTAAGTAACTAGAAGTTGCCAAAGCTTAACTTGATTTAAAAAATCAAGAGTTCAAAATAAAATTCATATGGACACCTTGAATACGTCAAAGTTTGATGGAGGGGAGACTAAATATGAAATAATGATTTTATAAATATTTCCAAAGAACAACGTCTGTCTTAAGGCTATTTTGGGGCCCAGGCAAATGTTATCTCATTTTCCTTCCTCTTTAGACTTTGTAAGTAGCTCTTCCCTCAGCTAGTGAGGAAAGACAATCCTTCAGCCTAACAGGTACAGCTGGTGGACAAACGATTCACAGGTCCAGCCTCAAGTGTGGAATTCCTACTTAAAATCTCCCCGGCTGACACAGAAGACAGACCGAGCCACTAAAACGCAAACCGTGCATACGACGTTCACGGACCGCACACACGCTCCACAAACCTACTGTCGACTTCCCTCCTCCTCCCCCCCTCCAAGTCCATCCACACATAACAAGCCCCAGATGGATGGAGTCTAAGGTTCTTTTGAAGAATCAACCAACAAAAACAGCACAGGAAACCCTCAGAGATGGCATTACAGTAGGTAGGGGCCAGTCCTGCTGGGTGCTTTACATCTACAGCAACCTAAAAACTCAGTGCTGGCTCATGAACAAACACATCCCCGGAACAGAATCTCAAGTTCAGATGAAGACATGAGCCTAAATGCATAGCTAAATGGAGCCACCAGCACTGGTCACCAAGACGGCCACCTAACCAGGGACACCGGGGCGATCCTGAGGTGATTCTGAACTGTTTGGGACCCTGTAAGTCGAGCACCTGCCTCTCTCCAAGCTGTGGTCCAGAACCAGGCAACAACGTGCTCAGGGAGACCCTCGGGGGAAGGGGGACCCAGCTCCAGAAACAAAACCCCACTTGGACTGTGCCATTCACGATCACCCCGTGGCTGTGCCAAGAACCGATTCAGAAGTCACACCGGTCACACTTGGGGCGATGAGACATGGAGAAGCTGTCTTGACTATGTCAGGAAATGTGTGACGCACAGGCACCCCAAATCATAGAGCATTCACTAAATCCCTAACAGTTAAGCTACTGATTATGTTCTCCAGCAGAAAGGATCCTGACTCGGTAACCGTCTGGAGCGGGGAGGGAGTTGAGTCCCCAAATCTCACTCAGTTACTCTCAAGATAAATACTGATGGATCCAAGATTGAAAGTAAAAGGAAGGACTGAGAGAAAATGTGGGTTATTTTACAAACGAAGAGGTAAGAGCATCTTAATGTGCCAGCTCTGTATAATACAAACCAAATGCTCCACAGAAAATCACTTCCATGTTAGAGAAACACCGTCAGCAGAGCCCCGACCCCTAAGCCTCCAGCTCACAGCCCTCTGCAGCCTCGCCTGCCCCTCCTCTGTAAGCTCCCCTCTGCTGCAGGCCTCTCCTCCTCCTTTTCAACCCTTGAAACCACATCCTGGGCTCTGGATACAAGGAGAACCCAGCAGGGACATAACTAAAATCACCTTACAGAACACGCCTCAGTCCAGTCCACAAACGCGGAAGAGGGTCACCACGTACGAGCTCACCGCCCAAACCAGGGCACACACAGCCTTCCAGAGGCAAGCCCATCCTAAACAAAGTGAGCCTGCACCCCAGACCTCAGACTCTGGAACCACCTGACCCACGGCAACAGCCAAGGCCACCAGGCCCACACCTGCCCCAAACTCTGCAGCCCGCGAAGGAAGACACAACCCAGACAGACACCAGCCACCCAGGCAAGCCGAGGAGCCGTGCGCTCCATGGCGGGGGTCTGACCGCCTCACTCAGCTCTGCCTTGTAGCCACCCCTGTTCTCACAGGCAGGCGCTGAGCTAAAGTCACATCCTCACCCTTGCCTCCCCCATACTCACCCCTGCCTCCCCCATCCTCACCCCTGCCTCCCCATCATCCTCACCCCTGCCTCCCCATCCTCACCCCTGCCTCCCCATCATCCTCACCCCTTCCTCTCCCATCCTCACCCCTGCCTCCCCCATCCTCACCCCTTCTTCTCCCATCCTCACCCCTGCCTCCCCCATCCTCACCCTTTCCTCTCCCATCCTCACCCCTTCCTCTCCCATCCTCACCCCTGCCTCCCTATCCTCACTCGGCCTCAGGGAAGCAGGCACAGGGCTGGCTTCTTAACAACACCTGCTGACAGTGACGGCTGCTGCATCTGACCCAGTGCCCGCTTCCATCCTTCCATAGCTAAACTTTCTCTCCTCGGCCTCACTTAGTTCTGCACTCTGGGGTCTGCCTGCCACTCTGCGCACTTGTGATCCCGGCCTAGGAGGCGTTGGGAGTGGGATCGTGGGCCTACGACGCCATAATTCTCGAGGCTTGCCCTGGTGAGGAAGGGAAGCGTGATCAGTGTGCGAGAGAGAGCTCTGACACACTGACATGGGTCCTCGTGAGCGTCAAGACACCGTGGCCTCGGGCTTCTAAAGTCAACCGCGAGTCTCCCAGTAACCTGTCCCTCCTCGGGCCCTTTTCTTAATCATGTTAGCGCTCACCTTTGGCAAAGGTTTCTGGAAAGCCTGCATCGCCAGAAGTAGAGGAGCTGCTGTTGTCCAATTGTAGTACCTAACAAGATGAGGAGACTCGTCAGAGGAGGGAGGCAGGACAGAGCCTTTCTACCGTCACCTGGAGTGTTGTGGGAAGGCTGGGAACCCCAGTGAGGCCCTCTAACAAACTTCCCAGTCCTCCACACGGACCCCGTCCACACACTGACCCCGTCCACATACTGACCCCGTCCACACACTGACCCCGTCTACACACTGACCCCCTCCACACGGACCCCATCCACACACTGACCCCCTCCCCAGCCCTCCACACGGACCCCATCTACACACGGACCCCGTCCACACACTGACCCCCTCCCCAGCCCTCCACACGGACCCCATCCATACACTGACCCCGTCCACACACTGACCCCCTCCACACGGACCCCATCCACACACTGACCCCCTCCCCAGCCCTCCACACTGACCCCATCCACACACTGACCCCGTCCACACACTGACCCCCTCCACACGGACCCCATCCACACACTGACCCCGTCCACACGGACCCCATCCACAC